CACATGACGCTTGTCTGGCCGGAGCACAAAATGTGCGGCGCTTTCAAGTGGCCGTTCCTCGACTTTGCACCACGGCTGTCTCACTTGAGGTGACTCAACGCAGTCAAAGCACACCTTGCATTCGAAAATCCAGGCTATCCGCCGCAGAGGAAGTGCTCAGCGAGTTTTCACGCCATTCCACCGACCTACTAGGTCAAGCCTGTTGTCGTAATTTGTGCAATAGGATGTTACTTCTCTCCCCCTCCACCCCTCCTTCACCTCCTAACCCGTCAATGTGTCAGACTCATTTATCTGATGTCTCAAAATTTAAGTTAATTTCATGGTGAATATAACAAATGCATTACTTAGACCAAGGGAACCAGTTAACTGTCCTAAAATCATTTTCCTTTTTCCCCTTCCATTCTGAAAAAGTTGTTGATTCCTCCTCACAGAAGAGGCAGTGACAGTTAGACAGGAAAGCAAGCGATGCCCATTATGCTCCCCTGTGCTTGGTGGTTGGAAGTTTGACCTGTTGGAAATGCGGACCTAGTTAGTGGAAGTTGGTGTCCTCTCAGTGAAAAATAAGAAACTAGAGTAGACGGCATTCATTTAGTATCAAAATTGAACTGCTGATTGGTGGTTGCAAGCTTAGATTTACGACTACGTGACTAAAAAGTGCTTTTTGCTTTTCACAGCCAAAGTGCTCAGTACTGTATGGAGTGGGTGACAGCGACTCATATCTGCTAGAAGTAGCCACTGCTGTCTTCAGACTAAAAGGTTTGCAGTCACTCCAGGAAAGGATATTACGTGCATTAAGTTGATAAGATAGGATGCTTTTAGTACAAGGAAAGCCAAAGTAAAGTGGACTCTCTTGCGAGTGCTTTTATGTCGCCCCCTAGAGATCAGTGAGCTTGTTGGAGGAACAAAAATGACGTCGTCTAGCTGACGAGTTTTGGCATTGAGTCACACCGCTTTGGAGGAGTAAAGCGCAGCCTGTAGAGCAGAGATCTGAAACCGCCATTGAAGATTTCGGCAGCTTCAGCACTACCGCGCGTCAGCAGATGCCAGTGATACCGCACAGCTGTAAGCACAACAGTAGTGATGACCACACAGTAAAAGCGCACTTTAATAAGGTTTACGCAGCCTCCACTAGAAGCTACACCAATGATTCGAATGTCCTAATCACATGCGAATCAGGAATAATCGTATTTGAGCCCATAACAAATAAATTGCACGGGATTGTAGGAGGAAGTGGATAAACTCAGACAATCCTGATATGTTGAGTAGCTTCCCATCTATTTGCCCAAATCGAAATCGCCTGCTCCTCATCCACTCCCCAACTGTTCACCTTCATGGCCCAAAAAGTACAAAACCACGTAGCGAAAATCATCCCAATTCACACATACACGTATATAAGTACAATCAGAGCTACCGGGCAAATAGCAGTGCCTCAGTAATAATAACAAGAATAACAATAGGTAAAAAATGCGCCTCAACAAGAACTACGCATTGTGTACCAGCATTAGTAATGTCATCAAGCAGTCATACCCAAAGGAAAGTAAGGACGGTGGAAGTTGACAGAAGAGTTGTACATCAATAGTGGCATACAAAAAGGGGAAGGTAGAGAGGAGAGGATCGAGTAGATGCAGAGGCACAGCGAAAGGGCAATGGGGATCGAATACACCTGAGAAGAGTTGAAGAGTCCGGGAGGGGGGAATGCTTTGAGGAGGGTAGGTGAAGCACGTTCTGTTAGGAAGGCGGTTTATTGTTGCCGCACATGGAACTAGTAGTAGCGTTGACGTTGGCGGCGGCCTCTTCTTTAAAGCGCTCCAGACAGAGACAGCAACTCCACGGACCCTCTGGTGGTTGAGAGAGCGGAGGATTGAGACAGAACATATGATAGCCACGGTCGCAGTCGTCACAGAAGAGCATCTCCTCCTGCAGAAATAGCGTCAAAAACACGTCAGTCACTGGGCAATCGCGTTTTCGCACAGCACACTCAATTAACGGGCTGGCAACAATTCAGTAGTGAGTACTTGGTGAGGGAGATCGGAGGTATTAAAGTTGATGACACCACCTTAGCTCTGTATGTTGATCAGCCTTAGTACCTTCTAAAGCAGAATAATCAAAGTGGAAATAATAGGTCACTGGAATTTGTTCATATCGCAACTCCGCCTACACACAAATTAGCCTTTCCAATAATGATTTGCCCTCCCCAGTGAGTACAGAATATCCGATTTTTACACAAGATTAGGCGGTAGTAGATTTCGATGCGAGAAAACCAGCGCCGACCCAGATCAGAGATGGGCATGGGTCCGTCCATTGGCAGCCCCTCAACGATCACTTAACCGAGCGATTTACAGAAAAATGACACCTATTAATGACAAGTGATCTCAATCATTCACCACTATCGAATGCTTATACCAATGATGCCTTCGAGGGTCCCATAGCTTATAGCGTGTTGAAAGGCAACATGAAAGCTGGACTGGTGACAGACAATTGGAATGGGATCGATATAAGGCAAAGCTAGTAAAGAAGACGAAAGCATTCAGTGACGTCTAAAATAACAACACAACATCAACAGAATGACCATTCAGCTAAATAGATGGGAATCGTCAGCCATAACTAGTGACACTGAAAAATAAAAAAAACTGCAAATTTAATTAGCGAGGATTGCAACAAAGGGACAACTCTCTCAATTGACGTACAAAAGAGAGCCAGACAAGTTGTACTTGAAGATGAAATCATCCGTTAGTTAGAGAACTTGAACCAGAAGAACCACAGTAGCGTAACGAGAGCTACTGGAAAGACAATGAAATGTGAAATCTGTAGCTTAGGAGCCGATAAGTGTGAAGTAGAATGTGATCGCATGTCTATCGGAAGGCCTGCAATCGTTAATGAAAAATCATGCTGCAATGTTTGACACTCAAAACTAGACGAAAATTGAGCAACAAAATAATTAATGTCACTAAATGAGTACCTTCTGCTCCCCACGACTTTCGACCAAACTTAGCATTAGTAAAAAGGAAGGCAAAAACAAAATGTACAAGATGACTGCTTTTATGGGACAGAATTAGACCAAGTAAGAATAGCTCATCCATGGAGAAGAGAAGCGAGTGGAGGAAGAAAGTTGGCTAATCCCAGCTAATTAACGATAAATCCCAGAGGAAAGAAAATCAAGCAACCTCCACGAGAAGTGCAACTGCTCGCGTATCCTTTTATTTACCTATTTGTTGACTTGTTTTTCGCCCTCAAGAGAGAGAGAGAGAAAAAGATAGAGAGATAGGAGGAAGGCACCTCCTACTGACAGGGGAGAATGGAAGAGGCAGAGAGATGGAGATGGCAGGGCAAAGCGAAAAAAACTGGGTATCTATTTGTCCAAATTTGAGGAGAAAAGGTTTCAAATAAAATCAGTGCAGGAGGAAGGGGGAGGAGGACGAAGTGTTGACCGAGGTGATTGATGACACAATGCGTCAATCTCAGGTTTAGTTCCAGCCATTGTGAGTAAGAGATGGAGGTAATAACAAAACACGAAGACCTTCATAAAAATGGATTTAGATCAGAAATTTTCGGACCTAGAACTTTAAACGTCTTCATCTGACTAAATTTCCAATAAGGAGAGTAGACAAGCTCAACCATGGCGACAAATTTTGGTCTCAGTAGTTATGGAATATAGCTGTTCCAAATTGGAACAATGATTCAAATGATGAGTAGGGAGAGAAATATGACATTTTGAGCACGAGTTCCACAATGTAAGGGTACGCATGTCCCATAGCATCCTCAACTAACCCATCCAGAACGGCAACGTTCATGTGCAGTTGGCGCGCGCGTGTGTGGTGAACTAGAAATACAATTTTTTGACCACGAATTATTCACTTCCTGAAGGCCAACGAACAGTTATGGTCAATATATAAGTACTCGATACACCGTGAGGGCGAACAATCACAGCTTCTTCCTTGGAGTCATCCGAAACTCTCCAGTCTCTGCGAACTCCAAATGACTTTATTATACGATAAAGAAAGGTTATGGAAAACAACAAAACCTTAGAATGAGAGGACCCATAAGTGCGGACCCCATGAGATTCCAGATATCACCAAGCCTCGTCTCCTCCCTTCCCTCATCCCATTTCGTCCACTTTTCAGACGATGATGATGATGATTGCCATTTGTTGACAGTAGATTTTGGCAAGCAAAGGCAAAAAGAGGATAAAGCTGGGAGATAAATGATAAAAAATGAGGTGACTAGAGCTACATTTTCTCCTAGCTTCTAGAAAAGAAAAATATGGTCATTGTATCGAGTGAGAAGACTTGGTTAGCCAATTTCCTACCGAGGTCTTACGGCTAGTGAACCAACAGATAGCTAAAGTTTGATCAAGTAGTGCCACCACTGTGAGTTTAACTGCGAACAATAGGACCCAATTCTGTAAGGAATAATCCCTAATCTGGGGTTGTTCCAGTTTGTAGTAGAGCAAGAACGCTCATAAAATCATGGACCCGGCTTAGAGCTGCCTCCTACAAGTAGATTTGAAGCGAGTATCCGGAAGGCATGAATCCTACGGATCACCTAAGTCGATAAGTAAGGTTCAGTTCAGGCAACCTTGCCATTCCTATTTGCGGGAGCATAGTCGATGCAGTGACTGGCTTTGAAGCAAATTTATAAATGGTACAGGTTAAAAAGTTTGGTTAGGATTACCGCAGCCTGCACTACCATTCAACGCAGCAATCACGATGATGGACATTAAATCTGACCATTTTCCCAACAACAAAATTCCTGGATACGTATAGCAGGGAGGGAAAGAGGTGCATAAGTAGAGGAAAACACAGACCGGTGCGTTTGAGGATGCGACCCACCTTTAGTGCTACGATGATGGTGCGCAAAAGTTTACGTGAAAATTCCTGTCTCACCAACCTAAGCCTTGGAGGCTTGCCTTGCATTCAAATAGTCATCATATGCTTTGAAGGGGTAGATGAAGAGTATTATGATTGCTAGTTTAATCAGGGATTTTCTTTATAGAAATAGCTTTTCAGAAATAGGCTGACCACATATGAAGCCGCCCCAAGGATCGTCTTGATTTGCAAATCCGATCAATGTCAAGTCCAAACTCTATAAGCAGTTATGTTAGGCAAATCCTAAGTGCGTATGGATGTACTGGCGCAGCGTTCGCTACAAATCGGTCAAATGTACTAACCCTGTCAATAATCTCCAAGGCCTCTC